AGAGATAAAGGCCAAGTATGTGCACAGAACCCAATCTGGGATTTCTACACATCTCAGACTTGCATTAAAATCCAAATTCTAACTGCACAAACTGCCTGTTCAAGCAGGACTGGATACCTGCCATCTGTAATCACAAGCTAGGTGGAACAAGAATGAATGTTAGTGCATTACAAAAAGCTACACTCAATTCTCTGAACTCATACTACTGTTGACAAAAACCTGCCTTTTCACTCTGGGTTATTACAATGTTTCAATGTGCTTATCACCCCCTGGAGCAGAAAACACCCTTGGTTTCATGCAAGCTGTGAAACGAAAATGCAGTGACAAAGGACAACAGAACTGCCAGCAGAACTCAGACTGCCCTGATTATTGGTGCATCTTCTCAAGAGCCTCAATGGGTGCAAACATGTGAGAACTTTCACAAAACACAAACATTCAGTTAAACAGAAGAACCATTACCAAGAGCAAACAAAGTTGAAAAATGGTAATTTTTTTAATAAGCTGTCATTAATTATGAATTTAAGATACAGTTGTTTGCATTAGCAAACTCTGAAGGGACAGCCTCACATTTTCTTTCCAAACAGTGAGCACTAGAAATGAGTTTTAAAATTAACTGAAGATTCTGGACTACTGTAGCTGTGTCACAGCACAGGCACTTGTGAGCACAAAGTCAAGAATATCTTCGTACGTTCTTGTTCTTGATGACCAAACCAGAGGATTTGTGAACAGAGTCCTTGCCTAAGAAAGCCTGATACAGTCTAGGCAGGATGAACCAAGCCAGGGGAGCAGACCCAGTAGAAGCTCCACCTCAACAGTTTTTAAGTTGAGAAAAATATGGCTATAGCCACTAAAATTTTAAGTCTGTTTCTGTTTCTTCCGGCTTGGCCTCTGCCTTGGCTGCTTCTTTGGTCTCTGCACAGCGTTCTTAATGCTGGCAGAGGGAAGCCTGAGAGTCACTTCATCCTCTGTGTCATCATCCATCCCAGCAGCTCTCCGGCGCTCGAGCACTGCTGGAGTACAGACTGGAGTAGGATCCTGAAGAGATCAGAAAAACAGGATTCACTGCAAAGCCATCTGCCAGAAAGAGCTGTCACTGCCCCTGCGGTACCACAAGACACCTCATTCCAGCTCTCCTTCAGAAAGTTGTTTACATTTTATAACTAGCTACTTTACAAAAGTAATTATTTCTTTGGACAGAAGTGTCACCTTCAAAGAAGTGTATGTGAAAGGCAAATGGAAATTAATTCACATTTTTTAACATGTTGTTATGCACATTTGCTTTCTAAACTTTGTATTTCTTGACTCAAAGCATCACGAAAGTCAAGTGGGATATGATCAGGGCAACAGGGCAGGGGGTGAGAGAGTGTATTTGAGACTGGCATACAGAAATGCCACATTCAGTTTTACAAGAGAGCTGAAACATCCCAGCTTCGTTACCTCAGTAAGGCCTCAGAACTCAGCTGACAGAATGTATTAGTTATCCTGTCTTCCTCACAAGCAGCCATGCCCCACTTATCACAAGTAAACCCAATAATAATAAAAATCCCCAAACAAACACTCATCCCCCAACTCACAACAATGATGAAACAGAACAGAAATGTTAATGCCTTACAGACTTTTTAGACTGCCAATATCTCAAATCTCAGTCCTGATGACCTGAACTTCCCTTTCACCCCACTGCTACTTTTACCTGGCATTAAACACCAAACACTGTGCCTGGAGAGCATGGGGTAGGAGGGACAGTACAGTATGGAAATGAGGACAGACAGCACTGGACTGTATCAAAAATTCAACTCCCTTTGTATCAAAACAGGCTGGCATTGAAACACAGTCCAGCAGGACTCCATCAAGGAGATCATGCTGTCCCAGGGTAAGGCACAGGCGCAGGGGTGTACCTGCCTGGCCCCAGCACCCTGCACTAGCACAGCCTCAGGGGAGTGCTGAACAGCAGAGGCAGACACACTGGGTACAGCGTGCTGAGCAGAAGCCTTTGCTGCTGAATACTCTCACAGGAGAGGGAACCACGAGGATTCTATCACCCTCCCCCGTTCAAGAGTGCAAATGCATCTCAAAGGAGCTACTTCTGTTTCCTTGAGAGATGTTTGTGCCAATGTTAAGGTTTTTGTGTGTTGAAATCAGTATTAAGGTGCCAGCTGAAGACTTCAAACACCCGCCCCAATGTGAATGGTGGTACTGGTCACCACCAGGACTGGTCTGTCTTACCTGGCTGCTCAAAGAAACGTTCAGTTTTGACTTCTTAGATGTTTTAATTTTTTTTCTTTTTTTGGAAAGCGCCTGTGCAGCCTAGGAAGCAAGACATATCAGGTGGATCACTACACACTTGTGTGAAGATGCAGTCACTTAACAGTTCACAGATACAGTTTCACAGTCACACTTCATAGCTTTGCTTCATAACCACAAAGTCTTTGCTACAGCAAACAGGTTTAAAGAAATAAACCGACTGACACAGAGGTGATCTGGTTTGAACAAAAACACTGAAAGCAACACAAGAAAATGCGCTACTGTGCATTTTTAAAACATTCCATGTCAAACAGCATTAACTGCTCACAACTCAAGTTCTTGACCCAAGCACTCAGCAGAGAAGGAATATGCAAGGGCTGTGGATGGAAGTTCTGGTCTTGGGACCTGCCTTCAAACCCCCACTCTGCCAAAGCCCCTCTGCTCTTTGGTGATCTGCACTCCATTATTAAACCACAGAATATCCAACTTCTTGTACCAACAAAAGAACAGGAACATCAGCCCTTTGCTGTTACCTTTGTCTACAAGTAAACACACAGGCACACGGAGTGCAGCCCAGCAACAGCACCACACTGAATTCCTGCTGCTTCCAAACAGTTCCTAACACAAGCGAGCCTCCCTGGGGCTCCAGCTCTTTTGCCAGTTCCACACAAAACACGTGATTTCCATGCATTCAGCACAACTCCAGAAACACATCTTGCTTAACACGCTCACTGAAGCGACGCCAAACTTACAAATCCAGGGAAGTCATACTCCAGCCCCTTTTCAGCCAGCTTCTTCCGCAGCAGCCTCTCCTTCCGCAGCAGGCGCTGCGTCATCCTGGCCTTCTCCAGCAGGGAGCGGATCCTGTTGTAGCGCCGCACGGCCGGCTGAGAGGGCTTCCGGAAGATCCTGTCGCAGTCCTTGAACAGGTCCTCGTGGACCTTCTCGGGAGGCACGAACTGACCTGCAGCCAGCACAGGACACGGCTACGGCACGGCCGCCCTCCGCCAAGGGCACGCACGCAACGCGGCCACGGCGCAGCCCCGCGGGGGCGGCGGCTCGGCCACACAGAGGGTCACTGCACCCCGGGCAGTGAGAGAAACGGGGGGAGGGAGGGAGGGATGGATAGGTGGATGGAACTCTTTAACAGTTTAATCCAGAAAGATCAGACAGAATTGTTTTACAACACCTCAACTCATAATCCTTTACGAAGAAAGTGTTACTGTTACCATCACTGAGAAACTCAGTGATTTCATCAGTCTTTTACTCAAAACCTCCTTTTTTCCAACCTTACAAACAACAACTGCAGTAATTACAAATGCCAAGCAGTGTCCATGTGAGAGGAACTATCTCTACAGCAAACCCAGCTTTGTCCTGAGATTTCATGTCACACAGTCACTGAGAGCAACATCAGCCCAGAGAAAAACCAGCACTAGTGACCAAGAGCCTGCTGGGCATGTTCTTCACACATGATGAAAAGCTCAGCCCCACAGAAAACACTTCTGGGACAAAACTTCATTAAAAAAACCCCAGGATTCTATGCACAGTTGAAAAAGGTAACTGAAATAACAAGATTCCTTTGCGTGCTACAGGACTTACACTGCAGCTTGTACTTACACTTCAGCAGCCTCTCAGAAAACAGGTAGTTATTCATTGTGTCTGCAACAATCTTGGCCACATCATCAGACTCAAACTCCACAAATGCATAGCCTTTGCTGCCTCCAGTCTGTGAGTGACAGGAGAGAAACATCAAACAGTGCTTTGGTACTGAAGGGCTCTATTAAAATTACTTTATTCTTCCAAAGCCATCTCAGATAACCACAAGTAATTTCATAAAAGGTCACTGAAATTGTGAAAAGCACAATTTAGTCCTAAAAGACAGATTTAGTCCTATATTGGTATAACATTATTTGTAAAATGCATATTTGCACACAAAAGAAGCTGCTCACAGGTATCTACTTGCTAAAAAAAAAACAACAAAGCTGCTCTGCATTGCTGCTGTTCCATTGCTCCATGCTTATAATGCGACAGCAAACCTAGAAGTGAAAAAAAATTAGATTTACCACACACAACAAGTGCGTTAAAACACAGTCGTGGCACTTCAGTCGTAGCTTGACCTGGCGCGCTCCGGCACTTCCCACTGGAGGGAATTTCCTCACGGAAAAAGGAGCACAAGGCCGTGCCCAGCCCCGGCCCTGCCGCTCCCACGTGGGGCTCCCGAGGGCCTCGGGCGGGCCGGGGGAGCCGCAGGGCTCAGGGACACGGCCCGGCCCGGCCCGGCACCGGGACCGCTCCTCACCTTCTTACTCCGGGAGAGCCGCAGCCGCGTCACCGTCCCGAACTGCCCGAAGTACTCGCGGAGATGCGGCTCGCAGAGGCCCCGCGGCAGATGCCCCACGAACACCACGCCGGGCGTCAGCTCCTCCTGCGGGCACAGAGAGCGCGGCAGTCAGCCCGGGCCGGGCCGAGCCGGGCCCCGCCGCGCCGCCCCCGCCCCGCCGGGCCGTCCCGCTCACCTTGGCCGTCCGCTTGCTGCGGGCCCGCTGCACCTTCTGCTGGAACTGGCGCTGCAGCCGCGGCTCCAGCGCCAGCAGCGGCGCCGCCCTGGCAGGCGCGGCAGACGCAGGTGCCTCGGCCGCCATGGCCCCCCCGGCCGCCATGCTGCCTCCGCAGATGGCCGCCGGAAGTGCGTCACTGCCCTCGCGCCGGCGCCGCGCGGCCAGACGCCGTCTCCCAGCAACGGGGCGCGCGGGCCCTCGCGCGGCCACACCGGGCCCGGCCCCACCGCACCGGGAGGGCGAGGGCGGGCTGGGACACGGACACCGCCGGGGCGACAAACTCCCGCCCTGGGAGCGGCCAGCAGCCCCCCGGGGCGATCAGCACTCTCTGGCACCCTCCCAGCCGTCCCTCCGGCCATTCGTGGCTGCTCCGGCCGCTCAGGCGGTGCGCGGGGCAGCCCGGCGCGGCGCGGACAGGCGGTGCGCGGGGCAGGCGCGCGCCGGCGGCGCGGAAGGCCCCTGGGCGGGAGGCGGCGGCACCATGTCGGTGAGCGAGATGTTCGCGGCGCTGCAGGGAGCGCTCGGCCAGGACCAGGACATCCGAGAGGTGCCGGGGCGGGCGGCACGGCGGGCGGGGCGGGCACGGGCGGGGCGGTGCCTCGGCTGACGGCGCGCTGTGCCCGCAGGAGATCCGGAAGGTGGTGCAGGCGCTGGAGCAGACGGCGCGGGAGATCCTGACGCTGCTGCAGGGCGTGCACCAGGGGCCCGGCTTCCAGCACAGTGAGTTCCGCGCCGCCGCCCCGGGCAGCGGAGAGCGGCCGCGGGGCGGGAGTGCCCCTCGGAGCGCGCAGGGGCCCTTCCCGGGGCCTCCTCTCCAGGGTCCGTTCGCTCCCGGGGCCTTGGCCGTGCGTTTCCCGGGAAGAGGAGAGCGCAGCTGGGAGGTTTCAGGCCAGACAAGTAGCAAAGCTGCCGTTCAGCATTATGGACACCGTTCTGTCCCTTTCTCCCTCCCTAGCGTGGTGCTTTTCTGTCTCGGTGCAGAGCAGTGTTCTTTTCCAGCTGTTCACGTCCTGGGCTGCTGAGTTGGCTCTTGGGTGTCCCTGCAGGTGGCTCGCACATAGGATGTTTTACCATCACTTGTTGGGCCTTTGATCAGTGTCCCTGTCTCGTCTCTTCACCACACACCCCAAAAAGCTGTGGTCCTGAGCTGAGGGGGTATTCAGGATGGGCTGGGATGGGGGGGAACACACTTCAGTCTGGGTTGTACAAAACAGATTCTCTCTCTGTGTATAAAATCCGCTTAACACGGCAAAATGTGAAAAGAATTTGCAAGGGCTGAAACAGCAGGACCTGCCCTTGGTGTCTGCTTGAGTGACAGCAGGAATTGTTCTGCAGCTTTGGAGGTTTGGGTTGGCATCAGCCTGGTTCCAGGCTTCTCAGGTGTGGACAGGATGTTTCTGGGCCAGCCTGTTCCTCCAGGCCACGAGAGCAGCTCTGCAGGCCCAGGTGTCACATCTGCTCTTTCTGTCCCCTCCTTTCTCAGCTCACTGGTGCAGGTACTGGACTAAACTGAAAATGTCCCATAAGAGCTGGGGTTTTCCCAGTCAATTAATATCTTGTGAGAAGAAGCAACCATTCTGACTTTGCTGGAAACTCTGGAGAGGAATTTGTGCAAGCCACCCTGTGAAGGGAAACAGAAGCAGCCTCCCCAGGTGCTGTTTTACTCCCTTGCAGAGCTGCTGGTTGTTCTCAGCCTGATGAGGTTCCCCAGCACACTGGGGCTGGAGCTGGAGGCCTGGGCTGCCTCTGCCCTCAGAGAGGGTTTGTGTTCAGCAATGAGCAGCACCACAGGTGTGAGCTGGGCAGCCAAGTGCAAGTTCCATCTGCTGGGAGACCCAGCAGTGCTGGGAATCAGAGCTGTGAGTGGTTATTTGCACAAGCTCAGTTCTCCAGCCTGGGAAAATCCATGGTCATTGTGTGGGGAACAACTTCAGAGTCATTGTCAGGCGTTTAATTGTAGAGGCCCATGTTCAACTCAGCGTATTTGCACTTGGTTTTTAATTCCTGGAGAGACCCGGTCCTAGAACTTGAGGAGTCTGAGAAGACATTTGGAATAGTTAAAGGGAAAAAAAAAACCAAAACCAATGAAAAAAATAAATCCAAAACCAAAAAAATACAAACAAATAAACTAAAAATGAATCAGACAAAAAACCCAAAGCCTTGTCTTATAATTATTACAAAAATAATGAGTTCATGTTTAATAGGTCAGGAGTTAACTTGTGACAGCAGACCTGTGAATTTGTCATCAGACTCAGCTCTGTTAGTAAAACCCTGGGACAGCTGGGAGTTTGATGGGGGCCAGCTTCCCATACCAGCCAGTGCCTTTTCAAATGCCATCTTGGAGAGGCTTCTGGGCTGGAGAGCTGCTCAGGAGGCCGGGCAGGGCAGCGTGTGCTGCATCCTGCTGCTGCCTGCCGACAGGCCGGGGCCACCAGCCCGAGACACAACTCAGTCCTTGCTCTGCAGCTGCAGAACACAGAGGTGGCACCTGGGGATGTGCAAGGGTAGTTTGAATTTGGGGACTGCGTGTGTGTCACTGGGCATTGTCTGAGCCTTTACAGTCGGGAATGTTTCTTTTTGCCTCTGGCAGAATCCAAACACGAATGTGTCCCTTACTCTGTTCCCCCAGGCACGCGATGCTCACATGACTGGGGCAGCCCTGTAGCTCCCAGTGAGCTTCACACAGCTCTTTCATCCTGGCTGCCACATGGAGCACTCCCACGTTCTGCTTCCTGAAGCTTTCATTTTTTGCATGTCATTCTCCCTCTTTTATTTTTTTAAACAGAAATTATGTGTTATTAACAGAAGTGTTATAATCACACTTGAGTGACTCCTAGTAGGTGTTGTTTGCTAAAAACCATCACACTTTCAGATGTAGCTTTTGTGAATAACCGCGGCTTCTGCGCATGAAGATGCAGGAGGGCCTGTCAGGCTGGGCTTTGTGACCAGGCTGTGTGAGAGGGCTGCAGGGAAGCTGTGCCTGGAGCCCTCGGTCCGCCGCTGGCGCTGCAGCGGGGCTGTAACTCTGTCGGCGAACGGGAGGTGGCAGTGGCTGCTGCAGGAACAAGAGATCCTTTCTCTGCAGAGCTGTAACATGCACTGGGCAGGCTGGAACCCAGGCTCTGCAAATACACCGTAAAAGGCAGGAAATGCAGTTTCCTGAAGGGATGTTGCACCTCATGTAACCAGATTCTGATGGATTAGAAAAAAAATTGGATAAGATTTTAATATAGAGAAAGAAAAGTTTTTTCCTTTGACTGTGAGAGTTGTCTGACAGCAGTGCTTGGTGTGTGCTTCCTTTGGGCCAGCTGCTGTGTGCAGTGCTGTTCCATTGCTTGGGATCTGGCTGTTGCTGGGACATCTTGGCTCAAGCTCAAAACAAAGGCCCAGAGCATATCAGACAGCCTGGAATTCCAGAGTCTTTCTGCTTTACCTCTATGGCTCATGGTGTCATCAGGAATAATTCTCAGATTGATTCCAAGTGTCAGTAGCCTATCTTGAACAAGAAAGAAGTTTAAATAGCACAGTCTACACTGGGAAACTGTCTACAAACCTCTGCTGCCTGTCAAATATCCATTTCCTGAGTGTATTCATTCTACAAATGCTGTGCTGTCTCTTTTTCAGTTCCAAAGAAGTGTCAGAAGGCTCGTGAGCACTTTGGTACAGTGAGGACACAGATGGAGTCTCTGAAGACCAAGTTTCCTGCTGATCAGTATTACAGGTGTGCAGGATCACACCCAGCCAGACACAGATATATGTGGGAATTGCTCGGGCATTTGCCATCACTGCTTTGGAATAATGATGAAAAGGTTGATGGGTTGAATGCTTCTTTCTCTTTGAAAAGTAAATTGTGGTAGACAAGTGTGAGGTTTTTATCAGTATAGATAAATGCTTTTGCTCAAGCACTGTAACTTTTCACCAAAAATAGTTAGTATTGAATTTTTCTTCTAGACATTTTCTTTAAAAAGAAAAAGGGAAGCTTAAGAAGTTGGTGTTCTGCTGGAGCTGCCCTTGTATCTGGAAGCAGGGCATTTGCTGCTCCATTAATTTCAGTTAAGTTGTTTGGTCTGGGGTGTTTCTGGAAGCAGAGCTCTAAATCTGTCAGGAAATGGCTGTTTGGTTCTGCAGACACTAAATGAAGTTGTCACCTTTGTGTTCTGTTGCTGCCAGAAGGGGACAGTGCCTGGCAAGAACATTTCAAAGAACAAGAATCTTGTCAGCTCAGATCTGCTGAGGGAAAGCTCTGGCTGTCTGTGGGCAACAGAGCCTGGAAAAGTGTGGGAGCTGAGGAGGTGTGTGAGAGGGGAGAGCAAATGTCAGTGTCTGGTGTGGTAACCTGGGTGTGGAGTTCTGGAGTACCAAGGAGATGTCTTGTAGCTGGTGTCATTTTGATAAACCAAAAATACTGCAAAGTGCATGTGTTAAGGCAGAAAACACAACACACACTGAATGTGTGCTTGTTGCCTAACGCTCCAGTAATAACCATTAATTATTTATACCTTGACCTGGTGTTTCTTCTGCAGGTTTCATGAGCACTGGAGGTTTGTGCTGCAGCGCCTGGTGTTCCTGGCAGCATTTGTAGTCTACCTGGAGTCAGAAACATTAGTGACCCGAGAAGCTGTTGCAGAAATACTGGGGAGTAAGTTAATGTTGTAACCAAAGGGAAAATGCTTGTGACCTTAGACATTGTAGCTTTCAGAGGTACAGGGAAATGGCAGAACTTAATTTCTTCCTGAGAAATCAGTTCCAGAGTTTATCTGGCATTTGATTTCATTATATCAACAAGAAATTCTCAGAGGACGGAAATTGGCAAACCTAATGTTAACAAAAGTACTTATTCATTAATAAGTTCTTAATCAATGAAGGTCATTCATTCAAAGTGTGTAAATGCACCAAAAACATAACAGAAAGATGAGAGCTTGTTTCTCTAACTTCTTGCTTTTGGTATCTAAAAAGTGTGTGAAACAGATTAAATTCTTTGCCATAAAAGAATTGTATCTTCACAGAGCAAAGGATTTGAAAAAAGTAAGGAAAATACATCTTGTATATAGATGTAAATCCAGTTACTCTGTTGGATGTCCAGTTGAGGATGTACAAGATGCTGAATCAAGAACAGAGAGGATGTAATTACATCACATACAGGAAAAGGCTGACTTTCATTATGTAATAGTATTTCATAAATTTGATATTTCAAATTAGCACCAATAAACAAATGCAATTTAAGGTGGCTGGGTTTGCTCATGCTCAGCACCCCCTCATCACTGCTCTGTTTTCGTCTCAGTTGAAGCTGATCGAGAACGGGGCTTTCACCTGGACATTGAAGATTATCTTTCTGGTGTATTAACTCTGGCCAGTGAGCTGGTAAGAAAGATGTGCATGCATGTATTTGGTTTGAAACTGACCTGGAAAACAGAAGTAATGTGTTTTTTAGCTTCCCTGAGTTGTTCCTGGCAGTTATGATACACAACACCTTGATCTGAACTTGTAGCAAGAAGCTTCTCTGCATGTTCCTCAGTGATACTTTTAAGATTTAAACTAGTCATTTGATTGAAAATCCAGAACTATGCTCAACAAAAAGGTAGAGCTAAGTACAAATAATCTGACTGCCAGGAACACAAGTGCTTCATTGGTACAGTAACTGATGGGGACTGCGATGTGATGGGATGTGATGTGATTGATGTGACGTGGCTGCTGTGCTCCTCGGTGTCTCCTCTCGCAGGCCAGGCTGGCAGTGAACAGTGTCACAGCTGGGGACTATTCTCGCCCTCTCCGCATCTCAACCTTCATCAACGAGCTGGATTCTGGCTTCCGCCTCCTCAACCTGAAGAACGACTCCCTGAGGAAACGCTACGATGGCCTGAAGTACGACGTCAAGAAAATTGAGGAAGTGGTTTACGACTTGTCCATCAGAGGACTCAATAAGGAGGCAACGGTTGGTGCAGGCGGGGAGAAGTGAAGGGTGCTCGTTGGAACAGCATCACTGATTACCTCAGATGGTTGCCAATTTAGGAAGTACCTAGAGAAGCCTTCCTACAGTAGTTTAGAAGAACTGCAGCTCAAAGCTGCTCTCTATTTTCTTACAAAAGGTGTAGTACAGGTGTTAGATGTTTTGTAAAATCATGTCTAGATTAGGACAGGAGACTGTTTCCAGTGGAATTCCTCTGTCAAACATACGGTGCTGTTCTCTGCACAGCAGCAATAGAAGTCAGTAACTCCCATGAGCTGAGATTCCCGTTAGTTCTGTAGTGTTCCTTCCCTGCTGCCAGGGAAGTGCTGTGGCTGTGTGCTCACACACCCTCAGAAGTGTGTGCACAGCACTCAGCTCAGTGCAGACACGTGGGATCTTTAAAGAAACATGATGTGTAAATACTGACCTTTCTTTTTAAGACACTTTTTTTCCCTTTTTGTTTCTTAAATTTTCACCTATGTAAGTTGAACAAATTTGCATAGCTGTTTATGAACCAGATCTCTTTTTTAATGGTTTCTGTTAATTGAGAAATTAGTGAAAATACTTCTGAGAATTCCTCTATTGGAACTGGTGTCTTGTACCCTGGCATTTCTCTCTCTCTTCTGTCTCCCTTCTCTTTCTTTCTCTCTCTCTTGTTTTTTTTTCTTTCCACCATGATTTCAGTTACCAGAGAGAGCAAGGTTTTCTTAGATACCTTCTTTCTCTATCTGGTATTTGTTTTACTGGCATGAGTAAATGCAGAGTTTAAAATTATGATTTGCCTTGAGAACTCAGTGTAACCAATTTTTATGTTTTTTTAACTTCCAAGTTTTCTGAATAGAGAAGTGTAAACTAACAAACTGCAGGTGGTGTCTGAGTTGTAACAACCTGTACAGGCCACAGATGTACCTGTATCCTGGGATTAAAAACAAAAAAAAAAAACACCACAAAACTATAGTTTGTGTAGTAAAATGTTTGTATCTCCAGAAACAGGGGAAGTTACTGCTTTCAGGTAAGTATGTAAGATGTTTGCAAACACCAACAGCCTCTTTCATGTGTGTAAGTGGACAGACTCATGCCTCCCCATGTGTTTGTTCTCTTGTCCTAAATGACTTTGAATTTTGCCATTCTCCTACTTATGGTGGTGCAGGAGGGTTAAGGAGAACAGCTGACTTAGGAGGAGGAGGAGGAATTCTTCAGAGGATGAATGGGAACGGTCAAGTTTATGCGGAGTTTGTTTGCATTTCGGTTTCTTAGTTAGGGAGTTGTTTTTTGGAAGAAAATGGTTTCTTGGTTATTTTGGCCAATAAAAGCTGTTCTTTGATTATGGCCACTTGGTACCTCTGCCTGTTGTCTGATCATCTGCTGTTATTTGCTTCCCTTGCTGGGAACCTGTTCTGGAATGCCAGCATTTCAGTTCATCCTTCAGCTGTCCTTGGACAATAATGGAGTTCCTCCCCTTGGCTGTAGTTGTTCAGTGGCACACTTCTAAACACTGCCAAGTGCAAAGTCAAGCTGCAAACAGATTTCATAGGCTTTTTAATTTTATTTTTTTTTAACTTTGAGCAATTTCACCAAGAAAAACAAGAGAGCTATGGAGTTTATCCTTACCAACCCAAGAGGTGGCAAGACTATTTTAAGTACATCTCCTAATCTGTCATGTTTGTCCTCATCCTTTGTTATCTTACCTCACTTAACACGGGGGGATGGCAATATCCCCCTTTCACAGCTGAAGAAAATGAGGGTGTAACTTCCTGAGCCCTGCAGCAATGTAACAGCTTTCAAAGTATTTATTTGTTCTTGCCCTGTGCCAGTGTTTGCTCATTTCTTGACTTAACACTGTGGCAGTGGGAGGAAGGAAGGAGCTTAAGCCAGTTTTGCTGCCCAAATCAGAGATGGGGGGTGAACCAACACCCTAAGGCTGTGCAGACACAGCTGTGCACATCAAGGTCACACAGGAAATTTGTGGGAGCAGGGAAATAGAGAAGGGTTACCTGAGCATCAGTTTGGTGTGTCTTAGGTTAGAGGACTCCTGGTATGTGAGGCCATGTGTCAGGGCAGCTGCTGGTTAAGGCTTTGCACTGACTTGCATCCCAGGTGCTCCAGTTGCATTTGGTCATGCAGCAGGTCTGCTTCTTGACACGGATCCTGTAGGACCTTGTGACCTTGACAAGGAATCTGCACATTTCTCTGTAATGGTAAAATGTACCATTTGATCTAAGTGGTAAGTTGTGTTCCTGTCCCACAGCTGGGAGTAGAGGGAAGAAGGGAAAACTCAGAAGGACTTGAGTAGGGAAGGGGGAGCAGGGAATGGCAGTGCACTGCAGAAGCTTGCTGGCTCATGGTGAATCAGATGCACTTGAACTCTGAACAAGTGACTCCTGTTGGTACTGAATGGACTGCGCAGTGTGTGCTGGCAGCTGGGAGGGGAGTGAGAGCAGGAGCACTGGAGAGTCTGACTCAACACCCAGCAGGCTGTTCCCTGAGCCACTTGAGCCTCAAGTGTGTTCCTAGGAGTGCTCTCTTGGATGTCTTTGTATTCACTAGCTTGTTTGGATTTTTCACATCTTGATGTCATTTCTGTGGGTTTTCTTTATTTCAGTAAAAAGGGTACTTAAATAGTTGATTAATGGCTCTTTATTTATAGCCCTGCCTGTTGAAGCCCAGCAGATCAATGAAAGTGCTGACCTGAAACAGTTCAGGAAGCGGGGGTGAGCAGGATGCACAATAGACCTTGGGGCTGGCTCTTGAACTGGGCTCTGCCTGCTGGAATTGATTAACTGCAGCCAGCCCAGCTACTTCTTTAAACTGACACTTGTCAGAGGACACTTATCACCTCTAGGCTGCCCTTTCCTGGTGCCAGCAAACATCTTTGTGCAGTGAGCTGGATCAAGGAACTGATTTAGCTGAAACAATCTTTATTTTTCAGCAGTGTTTGCTCCTGACCTGGTGCATCACACAGTCCCCTCCATGCTGTGCCAGTGTGTTGGAAGGAGGCTTCTTCCTCTCCCTGCAGTGCCAGCTTTCAGTATTCTCTGAGCTCTAACACTGTGTGGTAAATGGTTTGATTTTTCTTGCAGTAATTTAACTGCTTCCCATTTTGAGAGGATTGCCAAGGATTTTCTCTCTGAACAAATAATTTGCTTTTATTTCACTGCAAACTGAGTGAGCTACAGAGCCTCAGCCAGGTTTTTCAGCCAGCAAGATCATTACACACCAAGGCACTTAAGGGGAGCAGAAAGTGAACGTGGATGATGCTGGGGGTCTGTGGATCCTGACCTGTCACCCATCTACAGTCCATTTTCTCTTCCACTGTCACAGGATGCAGCTCTGCTAAAGAGAGCTGCACTGGATGCAGGGTGCAACTCTACTAAAGAGTGTCGGGGTTGTTCAGAGTCTCCTCCCTGCTGACTTCATGGAGTGCTGTGAAATGAGTGTTTGGATTTCAAAAGGAAGACTCCTACCTGTTTTCTATCTCTTGTCTGTGTGTTGTGGGTCAGGCATGAGTTAGGTAAGATGGGTATCTCCTTGCAGGCTTCACTGCCTGTTTATTGTCACTTCAAACTGGCACTCCAAGTTTGCATTGGTTGGTCAGCACTGGGGGCTTGCCCTGCCCAAGGAGAACATGGCTGTTGAAAACCAGCCCTTTCTTGAAAGGAAGAATACACTCCTTATCTGAGTGCTTGGTCACCTGCACATTCACACTCTGGGTGTACAAACATCTAACCTGGGGAAAATGTAACAGCCTGAGCTCTGCAAGGTACTCTGCTTCCCTGGAAGTCTTCCCAGGGATGTGACTCTGGCACTGCAAGGGAAGTTCCTGTCCTAGGAGGGAAGGCTTCAAGCCACCTGGGCCTCCAGTGCAAACAAATCCTTTGCCTGATTCCATGCAGAGAACCTTCCCTGAGAGGGCTGTTTGCAGGCTGGGTCTTCTCAATTGCAGCTGAAATAATTTCTCAGGGATGCAAAGCCTGCACTGGTGGAGATCACACTGGGGCAGGATTTGAGCTGGAAATTATTATTGTGTTAATCCTTGCTAATGGATCTAGAGCCTAATGCCATCTTTTCAACTCTTTCCAGCTGTGTAACTGCTCCCAGTCAGGCCTGGGCAGGGACCAGTGCTGGAGGATGCTCTGCCTGTGTTCTGATTGCCCCCAAGTGTTGTTCCATCTCTGCTGAAGAACAGGAACTCTGTTCCTATCACTCAACCTTTCCCTCATGTTGTAGAAAGGTTTCCCTTAGGGGATCACCTTCACCTTCCCAGGGGAGGTCTATTCTTTTCTAATGAGTGCCCTTAGGGCTTGCCTGGAGCTTTTTGACTGTACAGTGTTACAGTCAAAACTTCCTTTTTTCCTCATTGCTTGTACCCATGTCTGCTCAGATTGCTCCTCTGCAGCAGCATGTGAGAAATAAGGCAGTTCCCTCATCTGCCTGATCACTTTGCTCCTCCATACTCCACTGTAGTGACAGGTCACTCGATGACAGAGAGCGCTATGAATATTTATCTGATCTCTGGGAGGACAGTTTCCTCTGTTGCTTTCAGTTCCCCGTTTTTCCAGTTTCAAGTCAGAGAATGTCAGCCTAGTTCCAGCTAAATCTTACCCAGTTCCCCAGCACACATGAGAGGAGTCATCACAAAATGAGAGTTACAGCTGCCTCATCCATGAGCCCTGAAGGGATCTTTGACATGGTGCTAGAGGATTTAATTTTTTTTCCCCTTTGAACATGTCAGGGAAAAGCAGGACAGTGTAAGATTCACCAGAATCTCTTGCTGGGAGGAAAAATATTTCTGAGACTTCTGTTGCGTTATAAATTCACATGCAGCGAAGTCAGGAGATCTGAGATGATCTCAAGAGTTTTTTTCAGGATTTGGTGTATACTGAGGTCAATCTCAGTCTCCAATGACAACTGCTTGCTGCCAGACCAAAGCTGGTTTTCCCTCTCAGACGTGTTCTTGATCAAATGTGAGATCCACACTGAGCACCCCTTCCCCATCTGCACTTCTTTCTATGACAACCAGGAAAGTACGAGGACACCATAAAGGAGAGGATCTCTATTCACTAAAGCAGAAGTGTCTGCCCTCTGAGGTATTTGCTTTTCATCTCCACATGTTTTTTTCAGGCTTTCCCACCCAGCCTCGTGACTCATAAAGGAGCTATTCCTTCTTTCCTTGGGACTTGAGGTCATAGAGGGCTCTTAGTCCAGTGTTTTGTTGTCTTGTGTGTCTGCCTTCAGAACTCAAAACTACATGGACGCTAAAAATAAAGACTGTCTTTTGTTGTTTTCCTGGTAAATGACCAGTAAGGCTTATACAAAATCCTTTTTAAAGGTCATTTATGAGTTCTGGTAGATCAAAGGAGTAACCAGCTTTTCTTTTTCCCCTGACAAGGAGTACTTCCAGAAAGGTCTGCTTGTACTACTTGGGTAGGTTCAGTGGGCAGGACTCTTGAAAAGTAATCTTAGTATTGTCAGTCATGACAATGAAAGGCATAAAAATACTACAGAGACCTAGGAGGACGGCAAGCTTGGAACAAATAATTGCTTTCTTGGCTTGCAGACAACCCTTTTCCAAGTACCCGGGGTTATAATAGCATTTTGTCAGTTTGTTAATCAGAAATGGAAAAATACAGCACGACTAATCTCCAAGTCTGCCAAGTAAGATGTGTACATGTGATACTGAAAGACCTGGAACTTCCCAGGAGAGGGATCATCTAGTTCAGAAGGGTGCCTGAGGATTATGGAAATCTACTGCTTTGTCAATGTACTGACACTCTTGCCCTTCCTGTGCTGCCTCACCCCACACCAGAGGCACTTGCAGGGCCTTGTTCCCTGCTCATGTCCCCTTTCAACACCTGTAATTTACAGGCAGGTGAGCAGCTGCACACACCAGGTACATAAAAGTAGCGTGTGTTGGAAGCACAACCTCTGTCCGGTCTGACAGGTTCAGTAATCCCACTGTCGCTTCCCATAGCTGTCCCAGATCAAAGGGCTTGTACTTACTGTTCCTTAGAACAGTAAGTACAACAGGTTCTTTAGAACAGGGCTACAGCACCAAGCACACGTCCTGCTCATAATACCCGGTGATTATTCATGGACCTTCTTCTGGGGAGAGTTTGGTTCAGAGGAAATAGGCCATGATTACAGGAGCCTGGCAGGCAGGTGCTTCCTGTGATACCTAGAAAAACCCTGAATCTGACAAACTGAACAATCAGCCAAACATAAGATTGATGCTAAATATCAGACCTTTCACGCACTTATTGTTCTCTAACCTTCTTGAACAGCCAGGCTGGCTGAAGGTATCTTGATTTAAAGATATGACTGTACAAATGG